TTCCCTACAAAGACCAGCATCCTGCTGAGGTGGAAAGGGCACAGACTTAGAAGACAGCCAGGCCTTACTTCAAACCCAGCTCTGCAGTTAATTAGCTATATGAGTAGGTAACTCACCCTATGAACCTCAGTTTCCACAAGTGGTAATAGTTCCTAACTCACAGAACCACCCTGAGGACTAGGTATCAGGAGATAGGGGGCACCCTGCCTGAGATATGATGGGCGCTTCACACATGTCAGCAAGCAAACTCCAGGTCCAGGTTTTGCCTTAGGGGTACAACAAAGGGGCCCCAGCTGGGGTTCACAGAGAGCAAAGCCAAGACCCACCTATTGCAGATGCTGCAGTGGTGTGTCCGGGCTGGCTTGGGGTAAATGCACTTCTTACAGATGGAGACCATGGCAATATCATTCCTGCCCTGTGTAAAGGGAGAAGAAAATAGTGACAACTGTGGCAGCACTAGTTTTGTACCTCAAGAAATACCAAGGCACTCTGTCTCTCCATTCCTGGGACTGGCTCCCATAGCCTACAGTTCTCCCTCCCTCATGCCCCTTGTGGGGACCCACCTGGGGTGGGTACCCAGGCGGAGTGGTGATGGCCTGATAGTAATGGAAGACGATGAGGATCAGATTCCAGTGACTATAGAAGAAATGCCAGCAGAGTCGTGGCACTGAGTAGGTTCGGAGGATGAGAGGTAGGACACATAGGTAGGCGATGGCCACGATGGAACTGGTCAGCACGATCACCAGCACCACGAACACCTGCCAACACCAGTGAGGTCAAGTAGATGCATGAGAGAGCTACACCCAGAGTAGACTCAGGAATTTCCCTGGGGGTAGGGGACTGACCTCCAAAACCCAGCATAGGTCCATCAGAGACATGTCCCTCTGCTCCCCAGGCATTACTCACCACCCCAAACCAGCGGATCACGTTGTCCACCAGCCAGTAGATAGGCTCAAAGGCAGCATCGACTGCAGTGTCACTGCCACCAAAGGAGTTATAGAGCAGGGAGCGCAGGCAGACCTTGCCATAGCGCCAACGCTGTACCAGGCCCCGGAGCAGAGGTGGGCAGCGGCGTCTGTAACCCAGGAGCAGAAGCAAGCGTAGGCAGAGGCGGGCCGGGCCCAGTAGCAGGCTCCACTGGCCCCGCATGGCTCCTAGGAGAGCACACCATTGTAAGGATCCAGCCTGAGTCCTGTCCCTCCATACCCCACTAGAGGGAAGGCCCAGAGCACCAGCTTGGAGGGCAAAAATCTAAGATTAAGGCCGAACTAGGCCAGTCTCCAGCTGGGGAAGTATGAAGGTCACTTCACTTTTCTGCAGAATGTTCAGTGCCAGTCTCCCAACCAGATTACAGTGAGTAGGGACTGGAGGTTCTGAGCCTGCAAAAACTGTATTTACATTACACCATGTGTGTGCACAGCAAATCCAAGGTGATGTATGCCTAGAGTAAAGGGCCACAGTAAAAGCGTAAGGGAGAGGGAGGCGGCTCTAAGCCAAAGCAGTCTTTGGAGTTGTCTGTGTAGATAGACCATTGGATGGAGCATGGCCAACATGGACAAAGCTGCCACTGTATCTCTGGGCGTGGCCACTGTAGCAGAGGTTTCCAAGGGTCTTCTGCCTGCCCTGGCCCATTGACCTACCTCCTAACAATTGCTCTTCACCAAGGAACAGCCAGTAGGGGACTACGTGCATAGCCCTGCACCTAGATCTTCCCTGGTGCTGAGTCTTGACAAAAGATAATCCTCCTTCCTATTCTTTCTGGGCTGATGTTATAGGTCAGTAGACTCAACCTGGTAGCATGAGATTCCCTGTCTTCTGTCAGCATAGTCAGCTATCCTTTGCATGACATAAGATGCTCTGTCTCCAATTCCACTCCCAGCACCTCCCTGAGGATATAGTAGCCAAGACAACTTCAGGTATTCAGAGCACCACAAGCAAGAGACATGAGCCTCCCTGTTAGTGGTTCATAAAGACCTCAGGGCCTGCCCTCTCAGTGATAAGTCTCCCCTACCCTATTCTAGTTAGATACTCAGGGATCTTCTCTGCAGCTGTTGCACTTGGCCCCCTAGCCTTCCCAACCAGGCTTCCCAGCTCCTTTCCATGGCTCTTCTGCAAGTGCCTCCAATTCCTCTATGCAGTTTCTACCTCATCCAACAGCCATGGGAGGAGATCAGCTGCCCAGGCAATGATCAAAACAGAAGGCACAGATGCCCTAACAGATTCCTTCAATGACAGTCTCATCAATTCTGCAGATTAAAGTCTTTTACCAGAAAAGAAATTATCTGATTTCCCACTAGTGCGGCCAGGGAGAGCTGCTTTGTCCTTGACAACTCTACTGACTTATTTAACAGGCAGCTCTAGACCCAGTAGAAACTGAAGGAGGATGCTCCACTGTAGGGATGGTTTCAATTCCGTAACTGGAGCAACGTACTCTCCTTGCACCCTGGCTCATCCCCACAAAAGGCATTTCAAAGAACACTTAATCACCTCCTTCCACAAGCCCGGTAAGCCCTAAGGCAAAAAGAAATGCAGCAGACAAGGCCTACAGAAAAAGACTATCTGGTAGGGAGCCTCCACTGCACCAGGATAAAGAAACTGGCTGTTCCCATCACCTCCTAGGAAGCTAAAAGAATTAAGGGGGAGTGTCGAAAAGACAAAAAAAATGAAAAGTTCAAACTTTTGCCTCCTTTGATTTGGACTCCTATTGTTTGGAACCATGATTTGGCTTGAAGCATGAATTTTCAAGATAGAAGACAGCCACAATCAAATATAAGAATGGGGCAAAACAGATTACCCTACCACAAATCTAGGTGACTTTTGGACTATCCACACCACTGTTCATTCCCTTACTATAGCTAATGGAGAGTTTCAGCTAAAATACTTTACACTTTTTATAGCGATAGCATGCAAATTGGATGCACCCCTCATTTATAATAAACACGAATCATATGCCATCTCACAGCCACTTATCCTAGTCTAAAAAAAAAAATCCTCCTGAGATTTTCCACTTTTCAAATCATTCTAAACCACCTTCTGAATTCCTGAGCTCTACAGGAAATGTCTGCCTCAAGGACTAAATTTACCAACTCTTATCTACTCATATCCATACTTAGGGTTCAAGTCTGTCCCAAAGTAGTTCTGTGACCTTTGGCAAATCATTGAACCCTGCTGGTACTCAATCTCCTGTATTCCCATTCAATGAGGGGGTAAGATTAAATGCTAAAGTCCCTTCCAGCTCTAACCCTTTAACCCTTTATGATTCTCCATATATACTTGGTAAGGTATAAACGAAATGTTTATAAAGCACTTAGCACAATACCTGGCTCTTGGAAGTACTCAATAAATACTTGTTGAATGAATGACCTGAAGGGATGCAGAACTGGAAAAGTTGGTCAGATGTCTATCTCTCCTACAAATACTAGCAAGGACATTTCTGCCAATTTGATAACACTAAATAAGTGTCTGCTGCTATCATTCTTCCTGATTAATAAAAAGAGAAAAACCATTATTAGAATCATAGCACTGAAGAATTAGAAGGCATTTCAGAAAATAAGTCCAACCAGAGATCAACCCAAACATGTAAACAGAGAGCTTGTAGATGCAGAGGTACATACCAGATTTGGGTGAACAAAGTCTGAAGCCAGGCCTCCTCCCCTCACTTTAGCTAGTGAGGTATGGGGATGCCAGGGAAAGGATATGTAGTCCATGGGCCACAACTGAACATATAGACTTTGCAAGTCTCAGGAAATTGAGGTAAAGCAAAATTCGATAAATTATGTGTGTGTAGGTAGAGGGGGTGATTTCAGAGTGAACATGGGAGAAAACAGAGCAAAGCACACTTTTACTATCATCCCAAGCACAAACCCCGAGATGCTTCAGGAGTAGCCACAAGCCATGGTGGCCATCTTCCACCAGATTACAGGAGACTGCAGGCCACAGCACTCCCCTCCTCCCTGGGCTCTCAGTCACCATCTGTTTCCCAAGAGGAAACCCGATTGGTGGGAAAGGGAGGGAAGACAGGGAGGGACAGATTCCAAAACCACCAGAGGGAAGATGAAATTGAGATCAAAGTCATAGCAAATCTCATCTGAACAAAGATGATGCTCTCAGGATGTCCACAGTCTCAAGCAGAAGATGTAAGACATCAGTAAAGAGCAGAAACTTAATCATGTGCAGACAAAAAACGTAGGAACTTTATCATAGGGCTGCTCACCGAAGTTTAAGGAGGGGGCCCACCCAACTAGAGCCCCGCTTAAAATGATCCAACTGCAGGACTGGAAGCTGCAGTTTCAAAAACTTGAAAAAGGTTTTATTTCTCAATGCGGGCGACGTGGCCGAACTGCGATGGGCTGGAAGTGAAAAAAAAAAAAAAAAACGGTTTCCGGTTCAGGCTCTATTCTTGAACTATCTTCAAGACTTTGGACATGTCAAACTCTGTCTCTGGATCTGAGTTTACAAATCTGTGAAATAAGCGAGTTAGGTTGGTTGATCCCCTTCCTGCTCTGCGCTGTAAGGCCGCCCGGAGGGTGCGCTCAACCTGAGGAGGACACGGCCCTGCAGGGAGCGGAAAGAGAGCAGGAATCCGGACTCACGACAAGGCCCCGGGACAAGGCCCGACCCTACAAAAAGGGACTAGGATGGAAAGCAAGGGCTGAGGCTTCGCCCTTACCTGCCTCCTGCCGATTCCCCAGTCAGCCAAACCGAACCCGCAGCCTCTACCGCCGCTCACTGCCACTCCCTCCAGGTCGAACCATCATGACCTACCGCCTGCAGCAACAGCCAGCGGAGCCGGACCCGCCGCCAGCCCATCCTCAACTACAGGCGCAGGCGCAAGCGCAGGAGCTGGAAGTTCCGCCTCCGGATTTGTACTGGTGTGACCTGGGAAATGGAGTTTACCCTTGAGGAGTCGCTGCCACAGATCACGTGCTACAACGCACCAATTGGCGCGTTTCTTACTGCGGAACTGCGCCTGGATTTGGCCAATACAAAGTCAGCTTTGTTTTTATCCGGCTTTGGGACGGCGGCTGTCATGGCGCCTCCCGTGAGGTACTGTATACCGGGTAAGTGAGCGGTGCCCGTGCGGAGTCCTGGGTACGGACAGAGGTTGGAAGGCCAACAGCTTCTGGGGCCCTATGGGTGAAGCAGCGTTTTTTCTGCAGGCGAACGTCTGTGTAACTTGGAGGAGGGCAGTCCTGGCAGCGGCACCTACACCCGGCACGGCTACATCTTTTCTTCGCTTGCCGGCTGCCTGACAAAGAGCAGCGAGAACGGCGCGGTGAGTGGGGCGGCTTCCCGTCTCCTCTGTCTGTCTTTTTCTCAAGCTGCCCTTGGCTTCCGATCCTTAGGCACGGGCACTGCGGAGGCGTCTTTAGTGCTTCACCAGTAGAACGGTTTGGCTTCTAAGTTTCGTCCAGCTGTGGTCGCCGCTGTTGTGCACTTAGCCACCACGCACCAGTTACGTTGATCTCGCTTGGTTGTGCTGCTGACACTAGGGGAGGGAGTTGGGCCAAGAGCATCGGTGAACTGAGAGTAACACAGCCCAGCCCAGCCAGCAGAATCTTGTCTGAATATCGTCTACCTTTCCGCTCCTTCCAGCTCCCCTGTCTTCACACGGGCTTCTTTCAGTTTCGCTAATGCGCACACTCTCTCCTGCTGCAGACTCTGTCTGAAGCACGCTCCTCTCTTTAATTCCTCCTTCCTTCAGATAGCCTCTCTAGTGTCACTTTCTCAGAGAAGGCCTTCTGGAAGCAGTTGTCACGAGGAAAGTTTGGTTGTTTGTTTGTTTGCTTGTTTAAAGATGACCGGTAAGGGGATCTTAACCCTTGACTTGGTGTTGTCAGCACCACGCTTACCCATTGAGCTAACCGGCCATGCCGGGGATCTTAACCCTTGACTTGGTGTTGTCAGCACCACGCTTACCCATTGAGCTAACCGGCCATGCCTGTATGGGATCCGAACCTGTGGCCTTGGTGTTATCAGCACCGCACTCTCCCGAGTGAGCCACGGACCGGCCCTTTGTTTGTTTTTTTAAACACTCACAAAGAGCTCTGTTCCTTTCCAAGCACTTTAGCATTTACGAGGGCACTTCCAAAATTCGTGGAAAAATAGAATTAAAAGATAATACGAATCTTTCCATGAACTTTTTGAAGTACTGTCGTAATTATATGATGTTATATATTCCCTATTAAATTGCGTTAAAGCAGGCCCCACCACCATACTTTTGGCGCCTAGCACAAGGTAGATATTTGTTGAATGCATGAGTAATACTGTCCTCCCTAGTTCCAGAGGTTGATACAGGATTACCTCAGGATCAGATAAGCAGGCTCTGAAGGAGCAGTTTAAAGACAGGTAGCATAACAGAAAGAGGATTCAGAATTAGAACACTTTGGTAACTTTGACTAACTAGACCTTGATTCTGGTTTGAGTAAGAAACAAACCCTCTGGCTTTAGGTTCTTCCTCATGTGCAAAATGAGGGGCTTTCTATTCAGTCATTTTGGGGAATGGCCTTAACATTTCTAAGTTTGTTCATTTCATAGATATCTCTTGAGCATTTTTATGTTTCAGGCACAGTGCTGACCTCTGGTGATATAGCAATGAGCCAAATACACTTGGTTTCTGCTGCTGAGGGGCACAGACACAAATCATAAACAAATAAGTGCTCAAATGAGTGTATGGTTACAAATATGATAATTGCTTTGAAAGAGTATTACAGAGTACCACAAGAGCATGCTAACAAGCAAACTCATCCTAGTCAGCGAAAGTGACATTTAAGCTGAATCATCTAAAGGATAAATAAGAGTTGGGTGGGTGGAGAGAGCACAGTTCTGGCAGAAAGAGCAGGATGAACAGAGATCCTGAAGGGGGAAGAATTTAGTGAGTTGAGGAAACTGATAGAAGGCCAGGAGAGCTTAAGCAGAGTGAGCAAGGAAGAGATTGAAAAAAGGTGAGGCCCCAAATATCTGTCTTACACCAACAGCCAATACCATGCTCAAAGAGAAAACTCTATGAGTATTCCCTTAAAATAGAAGGAAACAAGTATGGCCACTATTATACAACATTTATTTGGAAATTCTCATCTGTGTAATAAAATAAGGAATAGAATGAAGCAGTGTAACTTTGGGAGAAAGAGTCAAATTATCCGTAATTACAGACAAGATGGTTGTATACCAAGAAATTCCAGGAGAATAACCAAAAACTTATTAGAACTAATCTAGAATGGTTAGATTATGTTTTCTAGCAGTATTCTTCCTGTGGCCCCTTGATCCTCCTATTTTCTAAAATTTCCAAGGCCCTCTGCTCTGGGCTATAAATGAATCCATAGTCCATCTGCCCTTGTGACTTTGACTCTGTACCAAGGCATTCCGACTTTACTCTCAAACCACAAATACTTTACCCATGGCTTAGCCAGGACATTCGTTTTTTATTGTTCTCTCTATAGCTTCCTGTAGTGTCTGTGATGAGAGAAACAGAGTCCCAATTTCTACCAGATGTGGGAACTATTGTAACCTGTAAGGTAAGTTGGTCCCAACCTCTGTCCTTATGACAGCCATCCAATGCTAAAATCATGATCATTCTAGAACTGCAGTGTTCAATATAGTAGCCACTAGTCACCTACGGCTATTTAAATTTAAATTAAACAGTATTAAAAATTTATTTCCTTAACCATAATAGCCACATTTCAAGCACTCAGTAGCCACTTGTGGCTAGTGGCTGTCATATTGGTCAGCACATCACATTTCTATCATCACAGAATGTTTTACTGCATTTGGCTGGTCTAGAGCTTTCTAGGTTAATGATCACAGCAGTCGAATTCAGGCATGCATAGTTCTTTCGCTGAGCTGGTTTCCTGCATAGGTAGGTTCTACCCTGAGGGAAACAAAGGTCCCAAAGCTGAGACCTTTTTCTGCAGAGGAGCAAAAGACTTTATTCTCCAGTATTTCTGTTACATATTCTCCAGCATTTCTGTTACATTTAAAGGCTTGGGCTGGCCAGTTAGCGCAGTTGGTTAGACAGTGGTGCTGATAACACCAAGGTCCAGGGTTCAAAACCTGTACTGGCCAGCTGCAAAAAAAAAGAAAAAAGAAAGTCTTTTAGGGTATTTCAGGGGAGGTACAAATTAATGCTGTACTTATCAGTAACTATAACATATTGTTACTCCCTGCCCATTCCTCACCCTCTGCCAGCTTAAGTTAATTTGTAGCTCTTAGTTGACCTCCTTATAAATTACTCCAGCAGAAAATCTATGTGTTATTCTGAAAATAACTAGAGAGGCAATGATCCAAATATTATGCAGCAGCTAAAATATAGATATAAATTCCATCCACTAATAGGCCTCTTAGCAAGATCTGTTAAAGTTCTAGATTAGCTATTGTGCCCTGTGTCTATTTTTGTTAGACTTGTGTTCTTTAAAAATCTATACTGTATTATCTCATTTGATTCGCATAATAACCCTATCAGGTAGCCACAGTGGCTCTTATTCCACAGGTATCACTTATACAAAGATACGTAGAAGTATAACTTGTCTTAAATTCTGTACTTAGTAGGGTTGCTTGGACTAAAATCTTAGTAATTTGTAGTTTATTGCTGCCTCCTTGAGATGACAACTGCTAATACTCTGCTGATCCTTTTTCCACAGGTCTCTAGCATCAATTCACGCTTTGCCAAAGTACACATCCTATACGTGGGGTCCACACCACTTAAAAACTCTTTTCGAGGAACCATCCGGTAAGATGTCTCCTTGTCTTAACATTTGCCTCAGCATCTGGAATGAGATTAGGATAGTCAGGGAGACTGAAAATTGTTATGAACAATTACAATTCCTACTTCTGCCTATTTTCCTATCTTCTTTTTTTTTTTTTTGTCTTTTTTCATGACCGGCAACGGGATCGCAACCCTCGGTGTTGCTCCCGCACCTCGCTTAGCCAGTGAGCGGCCGGTCTGTATGTGGGATCCGAACCCTCAGCGGGAGCGCCGCCACACTTCCCAAGCGGCGCACTGTAGCAGTGCGCCACCGGGCCGGCCCTTTCCTATCTTCTTTGATAGATTCTCTTTCCTCTTTGATGATTCTCCCCCAGTAGTACCCAAAGAAAATTTCATATGAGCTAGGACAGAAGGAATATATTAATAAGAGAGGGTTTAAAAATAAAGCAAAAAGAATTGAGCAAAGCTGAAGAGGTTAGTACTATCAGTCAGAATGATTCCTACCAAGCGAAGTAGAAGGTATTTTAGGAAGTACCTTTATCTCTTTAATTTAATATAAATTAAATCCAAAGGGTTATAAGACATCAAAAAGGTTTGTGGGTGAAATAATAAGGGTTTTTTGTGTGTGGATTCTTTGGGAAAGGACAAACAATTCTTGTGAGCCAGGTAATTTAACTTTTGAGGCCATTTCCAGCCTCAGTGTGGTTCTATAGTGCTTCTGTTCACGTTCTCCTGAGGCAGCTAAGTTCTCTTCCTTTCCTGGCAGATCTGATCTGCTTTTCTCTAGTCAAAGGTATTGATAGTGCTGCTCTGTGTGGTCCAAGAATGTAGCTCTTTGTCTGCTAGGAATCTGAGAGAAATTCTTTCTCACAGATAACTAATCTTTCTGTTAATTCTTTTTTTATAGCAAAGAAGATGTCCGAGCAACTGAAAAAGACAAGGTTGTTGGTTGGTTTGGTTTTTCCCCCCTGTGGCTTTAGGACTCTCAGTTCTTTAAAATTATTATCCCAATGACTTTCAAACATCCATGGGAATATGGAGTCCAAGGAAATTTAACACATTCTCTGCTACAAAGTATGGAATCCACCTCACTGTCCCTTTCCTCTCCATACAATTTTTGTTCATTCAGTTGACCAGAGTAGGGCTAGTTTATTCTTTGCATTTGAAGCTGGGTATTTAATCATTGCTGTTTCCTCAGACTTACTCTGGACCCTTTCAGAGCCAACTATAATACCTTTCATATATGTCAGATTCCTGATCAGGTTACTGAATTCAAAATCCTTCATTTAGGGCCGAGCCCGTGGCACACTCGGGAGAGTGCGGCGCTGGGAGCGCAGCAGTGCTCCCGCCGTGGGTTCGGGTCCTATATAGGGATGACCGGTGCGCTCACAGCGCTCACTGGCTGAGCGCGGTGCAGCCAGTCTCAAAAAAAGGACCAAAAAAAAAAAATCCTTCATTTATATGATGCTGTAGGAACAGTAAAAGTTGTTGACTTACTTGCACAATGATGACTTCTCCCTCTGGGATTAGAAAGTAGACTAGCTCTACCAGAGGAATTAATAGTTTCATGGAGACCTGATCTGGAGCTTTCCCTGAACACTCCTGTTCTTTCTTTACAGGTTGAAATTTATAAGAGTTTCCGCCCAGGTGACATTGTCTTGGCCAAAGTGGTATCCTTTATTCCCAGCTGACTTCTGGTCCTTTGTCAAAAGAAGAAATGAAAGTAGAAAAACACCTCCAGTGGCTATGGGAGGGAAGACTTATAACCCCTCATTTTCCTTCACCACTGTTGTGTGACTAGATCTCCCTAGGTGATGCACAGTCCAACTACCTTCTGACCACTGCAGAAAATGAGCTAGGAGTGGTGGTGGCCCACAGTGAATCAGGTGAGTTGGTTCATGCTTCCACATCCTTTTCCCTGGGAGCTATGGCTTAGGATTAATCTGTTGTTTGCTCTGGTTTCCCTGGGAATTTAATTATCTGGGAAGCAAAATGGGTGAAGATACTACTAAGATTAGAATGAGTCTCCATATAAGGATACAGGCTTATTGCATAAGTCAGTAGAATAAGCAAGGATTTTTCTGTATGAGGTGATGTTCACTAGGTAGCTTGGTGACCCTTCAGTTTCATACCCAGCTGAAAAGAGAAGGGTCTCTGGCAGATATTTGGGACCCCAGCTCCAACACCAGCTTTTCTCTTCCAGGTGTCCAGATGGTTCCCATCAGCTGGTGTGAGATGCAGTGCCCTAAGACCCACACTAAAGAATTCCGGAAAGTGGCCCGAGTACAGCCTGAATTCTTGCAGACTTAAGAAGCCATATTTTACCCCATGGAGAGGAGTAAACTGTTTCTGAAAGTACGTGTATGAAAATAACTTGCCATTGTCTTTATTCAAACACCTGGGATCATCCAGCAACCATCTCTAAAACAAATCTGCCAAAAACTTATTTTATAGATGGAACATTACTCTTATGAAGCTTTTCATGAATTTTATTCTGTTGAGTGATGAAACTTTTCTTTTGGAGCCACCAGCAAACAAAACTGTGTGATGTTGGAAATAGCCTATTCTTCTTGATGGTTCTTATTAATAGATATTTTTTGCTGTGACAAAGAAAAATTTTTACTAAAAGCATTCATTGTTTCTGTTGTCTGGAGCAGAGAAGAACATCTAAATGGTGTCATGACATTTAGAGCAGGGTTTTGTCTAGTAACACCCATTAACTGATGTGTCAAGTGCTTCCTTGCTCTGAACAAAGCCTGTATTTTTTGTGTTGTGTTTAAAGTAATTGTGCTTTAATTGTATTATTGAATACTTACTATATGCCAGGCACTTTATATACACCCCCTCATTTAGGTACATTATAATTCAGTGGAATTTGTAGGACATATGTGGTGATCCAGGTAGCATATAGTTAGTTCTGAAAAGTATTTGGTAAACACAGTATTACTGATATAGTGGGTACTCCAGGAAATGTTTGTTAAATCTAATAGAGCACTAGCATGTGAGGTGGCCAGGGAAAGATTTGATACGTGACATCAGAACGAATTAGAGAACTTAGATAAGAGAAGTGAAGATATTCAAGGCTGAGAGAGAAGCAGAAGCACAGAAATGCAGAAGCAGAAATGAAGGCATAAGTTTGTGGATGAGGAAGGGATGAGAATTAAGCATGGAGAGGTTGTAGAGGGAATGGGAAGGAAAGATGAATATGTGATGTCACTTCTTGAGATATTGTTCAAGAAGCCCATATCTTTAATGTGTAGTGACAGTGGTTGAGTCAGACCACCTGAGTTTCTATCATCTAGTTTCTAGCCCTGAGCAGGTTAGGTTGAGTTTTATTTTTTAATTGAAAATTTTATTGAGATCACTGTAGGTCCACATGCAGTTTTAAGAAATAATACAGACAGATGCCTTGCACACCTTGCCAGTTTCCCCCAATAGTGCCATTTTGCAAAATTATAGTATAACAACCAGATGTTGATATTGATACTTGAGCAGGTTTTTATCTCTCCGTCTGAATAGTATGACCTCATAGGTGTATTATAAGGAAGAAAGGCATAAAAATGCTCAGTACATGCTAACATTACTGTTGTTATTATATATCAGATTGCCTTCTATCAAACATCTACTAAATGCCAGGTCTTACGCTAGAACTTTGATGTAGGTTGTTTAAGAAGTCACCTATTGATAGTTATTTTTAAACTTTACAATTTTTTCTATTACAAACACTTATCTTTGTGCATGCCTATGATTCTCTTGCAAAATAGAGTCCCAGAAGTGGAATGCTGGGTCAAAGAATATGCACATTTTAAATTTTGAATAGATTCTCCCTTATTGCCTTTCAGATGCTACTAATTAAATCTCTCATCAACAGTGCAAGCCATTTTACTTATGTTTTTTCTGAACTTCACAGTGACCCTGAAAGTAGCAATCGTTTCCATATTTTACAGAGCAGTAAACTAAGGCTTAGAAAAATTCATTTACTTGCCCCAGGTCACATAGCCATCAAGTGGCAGAACAATATTTAAACCCAGGTCTGTCTTGCTGTCAAGCTTACAAGGTTCTTTCCCTTGTGCCATGGTGTCTCCTTTATGCCACGTACTGAACAGAACCTTGGGCATTCAGTAAGAGGCTCTCCATATTAATACTGGTTCATTAATCATGAGTGCTTGTTGGACATCATTCATTTAATAAAAATATATCGAGAGGACTGAGGTCAAGGGTTTGGATCCCCATACCCAGCCAGCCACAAAAAGTAAGTAAATAAATAGAGAGAGAGAACGAGAGCATGAGTGCAACTGGTCTTCCCACCACTGTTCCAGAAACTAATGGAGAAAGCAGTAAATATTACAGAATCCTATCGTTGCAGAGTTTAACATTCTAGTCGGAAAAGATGATAATAAGTCAACAAAGAAATGTTGTAATTTCAGACAGTAATAAAAAAAAAAGAGAAAGAAAAATAAAGTAGAATAAGAGGATAGAAAGTGACTAGGGGGCCTTTTTTGTTTACCCAAGTAGTATAATCTAACCTGGGCTATTATCTAATGCCTTACCACCCTCAGGATATATTATCATTGTGTCTTCTCCCCATCTACTAGGACTAAAGATAACCAAAAATAGAACAAGGCTAGTTTTCACTGTGAACAAATTGTGCCCAGCTAGACTTATTTTCCATCTCAATAGAATTCCTAGCTGTAGTATGTAATGGATTTTAGTAGGGCATCTGATATTTTTATAATTTTGGTCAGAATGGAAAAATGGAGGCAGAGTGACACTAATGTATTTGTGTACATATTCTTCTCTTTCTGAAGAGCTTTTGAAATAACTGTTCCTATCCTATCCTTAGATTAATATTACTCTACATCTTGACAGCACTTGAATTTACAGCAGTCTCTGTTCTGCTGCATACCGGGTTAGATTTTCTCAACCATAACCATCCAATACTGTATTACAAGTTAGATATGTGCCCCTACTAGCCTGAACTCGTTTTAAGGCAAGATTCTGTCTTACTATTTGTCTTTCAATCCCCAGTACCCAGTACTGTGACTAACACATAGCAAGTGCTCAATTTTGGGGGAGGTTCTCATAGCTGACTGAATAGCTGTGCCCAAACGGTGTTAGGGACCATTGAGCAGTGGTGACAGACTGCTAATCTTCAATTGGTTTTAAAGAACAAGGAAGAGGCTGTTCTTTCTGTGCCTTGGAATGGTGGTTTTCAGCCTGGCTTAGGTACACTTCAAAATTGCCTATAAAACTTAAAAAAAAACAATCAGGTGCCTGTGTCCTAGCATTGCCCCAAATCTCGTAGGGTGAACCAGAGCAGGTGTTTGTTTTTAACCTCCATTGGTGATTCTGATGTGCTACTGTGGTTAGGAAGCATTGTCTTGGAGGTAATGTAGTTGTTGGTCTCCTCGTGGTAATGGTAGGTGATACTGGCTTTCTGTTATTTTCCTGCCGTAAGGCAGGAGTTCTAGTCGGGAATCTCAAGTTGCAAGGAACAGAGACTGCTGTAAATTCAAGTGCTGTCAGGATGTAGAGTAATGTTAACCCAAGGATAGGAAACAGATACAGCCTGGCCTCATGAGAACTGGAAAACAGTCAGGACCTAAGACCGTCTCCCTTCCTTGGCCCACACAACCTCATCTCTTCTTTGTTTGGCCTTGGGCTGTACATGGCCAGAAATGAGTTGCTTTGGCCTTTTCAGTCAGCTTCCCACAGATAACAAACAAGCCCCAGTCTCTTACTTACCCAATTATAATTTTTTTTTTTTTTTAAAGATGACCGGTAAGGGGATCTTAACCCTTAACTTGGTGTTGTCAGCACCACGCTCACCCAGTGAGCAAACTGGCCATCCCTATATGGGATCCGATCCCGTGGCCTTGGTGTTATCAGCACCACACTGTCCCGAGTGAGCCGCGGGCCGGCCCCCCCAATTATAAATTTTTGGCAGACAAATCTAATCCCAGCTCATTTTTAGAGCCAGATCGCAAAAGTCATAGACCACCAACAAGCTTATAAATCCTGCTCTTGAATTGGGAGCCCATCTAATCACAGGGAGATGGTGGGCTGTAGTGTCAGAATTTGACTATACTCACTCAGTGGGAATTGTTCCCAGGGAAAGAGTGCAGATTCCCCAACAAGGAGGTAGATGGTGGAGCAGATACCCAAAACATGCTTAGTGCAGAAGGAATAACACTAAACAAAGGAAGTAACCTTATGAAAAGAGTCAAATCTCAAGAAATTACTCTGGATCAAGCAAGTGAGGACAAAGGATTAAGAAGAGGCAAAAGTTAAGCTGCTAAAATCAAACTTGAGAAGGGGAAAGAGGAATAAGAACATCAACTAAGAGGCTACTGGACACCAAGGAGAGCCAGACAAGACCAGGTGGTAAGACCCGATTCACTTGTAGCCACCCAAGTAGAGTCGACAATTACAGATTGAACCAGAAGAATGAACAATAAGATGTATTAGCAGCTGGTGGCTTAAAAAATCATTTTTGGATACACAGCAGGCTCCAGAAATAACAATCACCAGCCGTAGGTAGTGACCATGGAGAGTATTTGTGAGGGCTTTGCCTGGGGAGAGGTCACCAGTTGTTTCTAGGGTTCAGTCCTCTATTTTGTTCACTCAAGAACTTGATGTTACCAGATTCTCCAAAGCAGGTCTGACCCTGGAGAGTGAAACCTAGGACCAAAAAGGCAGCCTAGTAAATAAATATGGTACTGGGAAGTGAGAGTCCCATGGCCCAGTAGGTGGGACTTGTAGGCTAGGTTTGAGCAAGAGTTGGCAGGGCACTTACTTTCCCCTCCTAAGTCTATTCCTTGAGTATTTACTTCCCAGGCCTCACAAACTTAAGAGGAGTCATCTCAATTTGCCACATCTTAGTGCAAATGTCTGCTTGGAGGTAATCCGATTTTGGGAAATTGATGTATTCTACCTAAATTCACAAAAGACTGACTGATAAACCACAGTACACATTTATATTAATTCCTAGTGAGGAATCTCCTTGTTTTAATAACTGTTGATGTTCTATCTAAGACACTCCATCATAGTATCAGGGGACTGTGAGAAAGAATGTGGACCAGGTAGGGCTTTGAAAAAAATAAGAACTTAAGAAAACAAAACATAAGAGTTAGATGGGTTGTGGGTTCTGTCATGTGACCTGTGGTAGAGTCTACTTCTTTCACTGCAGTCTGTGTTTCTAGGGACCAGGAATTTTACCTACAGCTGTCTGTTCTAAACTCTTTCACTTCCACTGTTCATGACAGCATCTCCCTCCATCATTTCACCAATACTGGACTGATACTGGCTAAGCATGTTACAATGCTCAGCTGATGTGGTTACATTTTCAGTTGGCTGCTTTTGCTGACCAATGGGAAAGCACTTTCATTTTAGCAGAAAGCTAGTTTCCATCAAATGACACCGTGGATTATGTGGAGGACGATTTCCTCCAGAGAGCTGATCTCACCTTTGGAGTCATCCTTGTCACTCTTCAGCCACAGGATGGTACTTGCTCACCTGTCACTCTGCATTTGGAATATTGGTCATTTGGACTGTATACCTCTCTTCTGACTGTACTCACTCACTGCCTTGTGGAGCATGAAGGGATGTGTGTCCTTAAATCCTCATTCCCAAGCAGTGGAGTTTGGCCTGGTTGTCAGTTAGGTGACCATTCCTTAGTTAGATGATGGAGCTGGCCAGTGAGATTGAATAGCTCTATCCAGAACTGTTGCTGGGCTAGCCACTGGCCCCTTCAACTCTGTGGAGCCAAAGCCATGGAAAATGGCATCAGGCAATAGGAGTACATCGATTTGCAGTTAGAAGGACCTGAGCTGGAAACGTGCTCTACCACTTATTGCATATGAAACCTTACAAGTTATTTAACCTCTCCCCCTCAGCTGAGCCCATTTCCTCACGTATAAAAACTGGGATAATACTACCTACATTCAGGTAATGTGAAAATAAGAAAAATCTGTATGTTGAATAGCTAGCAAAGTTGGTACTCAAAAAAATTTAAGTCTCCCATGGGCCCCGCCTGCCCTCGTTTCCCACTAGTACATCCCTACTCTGAGTGGCAGTAGAAGGCAGTGAAAGGCAAATCTTGAGCCCCTTTCCCAGATGGAGGACTAAAAGGAGCCAAGAGCCTTAAAGCAGAGGTGGCAGACAACATGGCAAGATAGGAAAGGGTCTTCCTGCAAAGACATATCCTATAGCAGACCTTGTTCTTCTGGTGCTCATCTCTGTGAGGAAGGTAGGATAAAATACTGCTACTGACAGTACTTCCCTGACACCTACAGCTAGAGTTGGGTGACCTGTGAGTAAGCTGATCCAATCTGCCATGGGTGAAGAGCACATGGCCAAACAACATTACTAACTTCAGGGAACTTATTCTATTTTATGGAATGACATGTTTCCTGATCCTAGAACTGCGATAAAGCCAATTGAGATCTTTCTGGGGGGGGGGGGGGGGGGGATTACCAACTTCTGGTGTAAGATTCAGTACAGATTAGAAAAATAAAATCCCACCAGGCCCTTGGAGACTTCAGTTACTAAAGGTTTTCCTAAGGTTATTGTGTAGATCAAATGAAAAACTAAACTTGAAAAGCAAGAATTTAAATTTTAGAATAAGTCCATCCTAACTGGGGTGAGATGGTATCTCAGTGTGGTTTTGATTTGCATTTCCCGGATGCTGGGTGATGTTGAGCATTTTTTCATATGTCTGTTGGCTATGGAGGTTCCTCAAACAATTGCAGATAGATCTACCATGTGACCCAGCTATCCCACTGCTGGGAATATACCCAAAGGAATGGAAATCATCAAGTCGAAGGTATACTTGTTTCCCAATGTTCATTGCAGCACTCTTCACAATAGCCAAGAGCTGGAATCAACCCAAATGTCCATCATCGGATGAGTGGATATGGAAAATGTGGTATATCTACACAATGGAATACTACTCTGCTATAAAAAAGAATGAAATACTGCCATTTGCAACAACATGGATGGACCTAGAGAGAATTACATTAAGTGAAATGAGTCAGGCACAGAAAGAGAAATATCACATGTTCTCACTTATTTGTGGGAGTTAAAAATAAATAAATACACAAACAACCAGGTTTGGGGGGGGGAAGAAGACACAACAATTACAATTCCTTGAAGTTGATACGACAAGCGAACAGAAAGGACATTGTTGGGAGGGAGGTTTCGGTAATGGGCCACAATAATCAACCACATTGTATATTGACAATATAAAATAAAATTTGTAAGAAAAATAAATAAATTTTAGAATAAGGACCTTGATTTAGTTGAACTGATGTCCTTCACCTCAGCTCCAGTACTGAGTAGTGTACTGTTTGGCACGTCCCTCCATACATCTTTTGGCCTGTTTACTCTCCCATAAACTGGTTCTTTCACAGATTCTTGTCAAGATTATAGATAATATATGTAATGTCCTTCACCCAACGCCTGACACAGAGGCTCTTCATAAGCTTAATAGATGTAGGGTGTTACTTGCTCCTACTAGAAGGGAAAGGCACCTATGTTTGTTCTTGCTTTATGGGCTTTTTCATATTCCAGTAATCTTTTCAAAGGCCTTAGAGAGAAGGCACATGTGAGCAATGCGCCTTCCCAATTGTGTCTATGATGTAATTACACTCCACTCCACTAAGTTATTTTTTGAAGTTATGTATAATTTCTGAGGATGTTAATTAGTTGACTGGCAGGTATAAAATTTTAGGGAGCAAAATGAAAGGTGTGAATCCAAGTTTACAAATTACTAATAGAAAAGGGTTAAAAGTAAATCTGGCAAAGGCTTTACTTACTCTGAAGAGGGGATAATGGAGTTTCAGATTTGACTTTCCAATCAAGGGATATTCAGTAAACAGCACCACTGAGCAAGAGCTGTAGAGGGGCAACATGATGGAGTGCTCAGCCAGGAAGACCTGCCCACCCCCTACCTCAGTTCTCCAGGCTGAGGTGAAAAACCTAGTGAGACAGGTGGTTTTCTTTTCTTTTTTTTTTTTCTTTTTAAAAGATGACCGGTAAGGGGATCTCAACACTTTGCTTGGTGTTGTCAGCACCACGCTCAGCCAGTGAGCCATCCGGCCATCCCTATATAGGATCCGAACCCGTGGCCTTGGTGTTATCAGCACCGCACTCTACCGAGTGAGCCACGGGCGGCCTGAGACAGGTGGATTTCGACCAGATTGTATAAAGTTGTGACTGGTTGCCCTAAAACTCAATCTGTCACACAAAGACTTGGGTAATAAGAGACATCTCAATTTGAATGCTAAGGTTTCCTCAGACAAGAGGTAATGAACATCACATATGAAAATATTGCACATCACTCCTTTATTACGCTGGAAAAAAGTTTTAGTACAGTTATGCTCAAAATGAATACTGGACCCATGTGGCAGGACCAAGCAACTGGAACATGATTCAGAAATCAGATACAGTCAGACACACTTGGACATGAACAAGAGGCATTTCACTGCCACAAACAAGGCAGGGAAAGGATTCTAAAACACACAGCAGGATGCACTCCTACCTCTTAGAAGTCGAAGAGCTTATCCCATACTGGTGTAAGGAATGGCTTATTTTCTGATGACCACATGTGGGACTATTTCAACCGCCATTAGAAACCCCAGAAGGGTTTTTATTTTGTATTATTTATATTTATATATATATATATTTGTTGTGTGTGAAAGTAAATGCAACACATAAACTTAATTTAGGATTGATGCTAACCTTCTGGAACCAGCTCCTCTGGGGTCAGGGAGGAAACAACTTTTTTTTTTTTTTAAATGATGACCGGTAAGGGGATCTTAACCCTCGACTTGGTGTTGTCAGCACCACGCTCCGATGCTAACCTTCTGGAACCAGCTCCTCTGGGGTCAGGGAGGAAACAACTTTTTTTTTTTTTAAATGATGACCGGTAAGGGGATCTTAACCCTCGACTTGGTGTTGTCAGCACCACGCTCAGCCAGTGAGCGAACCGGCCATCCCTATATGGGATCCGAACCCGTGGCCTTGGTGTTATCAGCACCGCACTCTACCGAGTGAGCCACAGGCCGGCCCAGGAAACAACTTTTTAAAAAAATCACCATGCACGTTATATCTGTCTTCCATGGGAATGACTAGAGCCCCCCAAGACAGTGACCTGACTACAGAAGAGTACAGGACTGGCTCCCGAGAACACATATAGACTCCCTTGCTTCTCCTCACTGGTCATGCCTTACCATAGTTCCTCCCTATCCCTTACTCAAGCACATCCTTAGTAAACAAAGCAGTAGCAGAAACACAAGTTACTACCTCAATGCTCTTGGATAAGAGGAGCCTACCCTCGGCTTAGACTGAGAACCCATGCCCCAGAGGTGCTATCCTGAATAGATTCTATAAAAGGAATGGGTGCAGGAGACAAAATGGCTAAAACGAAAAGGGGAGCCACCAATTCCCCATCTGCAGCTACAAATTAGGGGGCCTACAGATGTGGTCAGTATGATATATGCAGGGGAAAGGTGCAGAGGAAGAGAATGGGCAGGGAGGGTATTCCTTGGAGGGTGTTCTCCATAGTAGTCTGCCTCCTCGCCTTCACTTCTTGGCCTTGCCCTGGGCAGCCACAGCTTCCATGGCTTTACGCACGGTCTCTTCATCCCCCAGGAACTGCATAGGCTTGATGGGCTTCAAGTTCTTGTCTAATTCATAGACAATGGGAATACCAGTTGGCAGGTTCAGCTCCATGATAGCCTCTTCAGAGAGACCTGAAAACACCCACCATGGTCATCCACACAAGATAAAAATCCACATCACCTCAAGACACCCTTTCCTTTTTTTTTTTTGCACCAGGCCAATATGGGGATCTGAACCCATGACCTTGGTATTATGAGGCTGTATTCTAACCAACTGAGTTAACCGGCCAGCCCCAAGATGCCCTTTCTGATCTTTGTAATAGTAGTTCTGACCTGTACAATGGGAGAGCCATCACCCAAGGAATGACCCCCAATACTTATTTCTTAGCCACTAAACTGAAAAGAACGAAAGGGTATACAAGATTATAAGATGAGCTTTGCACAGTGGCGGCAGTATAGCCAATGAGGTTTATCCAAAGCATGATTATTATTAATTAAAAGAAAAAAGATTCTAAGATGGGCTACCAACAAACTTCAGAAAGGTGGCCGGTTAGCTCAATTGGTTAGAGTGTGGTGCTGATAACACCAAGGTCCAGGGGTTGATCCCTCTTACCAGCCAGCCACCAAAAACAGAGAAAGGTATATACCACAAGTATCTCTACACCAAAGTGGGATCTAGAAGCCCACAATTAAAGCAGGACTATACGCATCTCACACATCTTATATAGTCCACCCAGCCTGCCAAAAAATCAGCATGTTTGGGCCTCTAGGCCCTCAGGGGTGAAATAATTTAAGATACAAATTCAGATTTGTGTGAAGTTGTTCTAGGCTGTGACTAAGGAAGATTTTATCAGCAGTTTCAATTGGCAATCCTAGTGCAGAGGTGGGCATCTCAAATTTTAATGTGTATCAAATCACCTGGGGGACAGATGGCAATTCTGAATCAGGTCTGGAGTGGGACCTGACATTCTGCATGTATAACAAGCTCCTAGGCGGTCCAGCCGTCACTGCCCTGAAGACCATGCTTTGAGAAACATGGGGAGAGGAGGGTGTTTTTCTACTAAGTGTCTACACTGTCTCTAAGGCTATTGATATGTCCAGGCCTTTCCTGAAAATTTCCTTTGTACTAAATAAGTCCCTGATTATTAGCAATTCTGCTTTATCCCTCCTTGAGGGCCCCTTTAAAAAATGTACATACCCTCCAGATGTTTGACAATGCCCCGAAGGCTGTTGCCATGGGCTGCAATCAGTACCCGTTTCCCCTCCTTGATCTGGGGAACTATTTCTTCATTCCAAAAGGGCAGAGCTCTGGCAATAGTGTCCTTCAGACTTTCACAGGATGGTAGCTGATCTTCAGTGAGGTCTGCATACCTGCGATCCTAAACAACAACAAAGAAACCCAAGTTCACCAATTATTAGCAGTTGCATCTATTAAATGGCTCCACAATGTATTGAGTCTGCCCATTCCTCATCTCCAAAGGGATTAAGTGATAGGTGAAGGTCTCTCACCAGGGTCTAGAATGCAGCTGAGAGCTTGGGAAAAGAGATAATTATTATCCTGCCACTTCTTCTACCATTACTTACTATCGGCAAGATTTACTGTTCAAAAGAAATATAACTTAGGGGCCGGCCCGTGGCTCACTCGGTAGAGTGCGGTGCTGCTAACACCAAGGCCGCGGGTTCGGATCCTATATAGGGATGGCCGGTTTGCTCACTGGCTGAGCATGGTGCTGACAACACCAAGCCAAGGGTTGAGATCCCCTTACCGGTCATCTTTTAAAAAAAAAAAAAAAAAAATAAAATTTAAAAAAAAAAAAAAAAAAATAAAATTTAAAAAAAAAAAAAAAAAAATAAAATTTAAAAAAAAAAAAAAAAAAATAAAATTTAAAAAAAAAAAAAAAAAAATAAAATTTAAAAAAAAAAAAAAAAAAATAAAATTTAAAAAAAAAAAAAAAAAAATAAAATTTAAAAAAAAAAAAAAAAAAAGAAATATAACTTAGAAAAGAAAAAAAAGCGGGGGCTGGCCAGTGGCTCACTTGGGAGAGTGTGGTGCTGATAACACCAAGTCAAGGGTTAAGATCCCCTTACCGGGTTACCTTTTTAAAACAGAAAAGAAAAAAAATTTAAGCAACAAGGCTCTTCTCAATTCACTTTAATTTGCAGTTAGGAAGGCCCTGAGGCCATGGATGGGTTTTATAAACATAGCAATAGAGATATAATAGCAGAAATAGAAATTCTTCTTAGATAAACAATATAAACTATCAACACTAAATCTTTTAACAAGTGAAGGTCATTCCTTGGAGAACAGATTACAATTAACTGCTTTATCACAAATTAAAAACTGAGAAATTAGACAGATACTAATAAAAGCTACAGAAAAAGAGTGAGGCCCAGATTCTAATGTCCTGATTCTGGGTAGAGTGAGCAAACCTCAGTTTGTCCATACCTTACTGATGTTGCTGTAGAAGGGATGGTCAGGCTCCATCGGAGGTGGTGGGACATCATAGGAGCGCCTCCAGATCTTTACTTGGGCCTCACCATGCTTGGCAGCAGTTTCTGCCTTATTGAGGCCAGTCAGACCCCCATAGTGCCGCTCATTAAGGCGCCAAGTCCTCACTACTGGCAGCCACATCTGGTCAATAGCATCCAGCACTGTCCAGAGGGTCCGGATTGCTCTCTTCTGCACTGAGGTGAAGCAGATATCAAACTCATAGCCAGCATCTGGAAATTAGAAGTTCAAAGTAATAAACTAATCAGGTCTACTCTAAGCCAGAATTTTCTTACATATAAATTTCTTCTACAAGTAGTTCAAATGAAAATTATTTGGCTAAATATCTTATTTTGTATATCCTTGTAAGAAATACAATGTTTATGTTACAGATACACCTCCTAGTGGTTCCCAAATAATTCATCTAACCCAAGGTCTAAATCCACTGTCAACCAACTAACCTGAGATCTGTGCTGCTTATCCTAATCTCCAGAATGTTGTACTTAAGCACATTTCAAAAATTTATTTCTGCTTCAATTCTTCAGATAAAAGAATCCTAAAAACTTGGAATCTCTTCCTAAATAATAATAGCTAACATTTGTAGAGGGCTTACCATCCATCAAGCACTGGACTAAGTACCGTAGATGTTTTATTTAGTCGTCACAACAATCCCGTAACGATACAATCCTTACAACCCATTTTACCAGATGAGGAAAATAAAGACTAGAAGAGTTAAGCACATTATCCAAGGTCACAACAATTATGTAAGAGATTAAAACCCATGCTGTGTGACTCCAAAATCCAGCTGTTAGCCACCATCTCTAGCTACCCCCATTTTCCTAACCCCTAAGAACCCTGGTGTTTGTATTTTAATTAGAATTGTCACTTCTGATAAATACTTACTAGAACTCTTGTCTAGGGAAAATAGGATTTTGAAGTCTCATCAGGATACAGCAAGAGGTCTTAGAGGATGCTAATAAAGTTCAGTTTGTTGCATGAAATTATATTTTCACTATGGAGTGTGGAAATCACATGACAAGCTCTTAATCCATGGTTTCTCTTCACTGCATTCAAAGTGCCAGCCTTTTCCCAGGTACGCTCAGAAGAGTATACCTACTTAAGTCAAGTGGTAAACCAAGTTTAGGAAAAACAACTCACTGAAGAAAGAGCAAAGGCTGAGCACAGTCTGATTGATTGATTGATTATTTATTTATTTATTTATTTATTTATATATATAACTGGTAAGGGGAACTTAACCCTTGACTTGGTATTGTCAGCACCACACTCTCCCAAGTGAGCTAACCGGCCATCCCTGATTCATTTATAAACAAACCTCTCTCCTCCATACACAGTAGTTATTGTGGCAGGGGTAGTAATCAAGACTATGTTGGCCCAACCAATAGGTTACAACAATTCAGTCTTATTTCATGTTTCATGAAAGATTACTCCCCCTCCCACCTTAATGGGAAAAGAACCCTTTCCCTATGTAGTGGGCCAGGAAAACAGTCCTGTTTCCTCTAGGAGGCCACAAGGCCCTCCTCAAAATTCCACACAAACTTTCCTGGTTATTGCTTCATACTGAGATTAGCAACAGTAATTAATAAAATGTGAACTGAATTTTCCTGCCAGTCATTCAACTGAGAAAGAGGCCAATAATAACTATATCAATGGGGGAAGGGAGGATTAACCATCAGGGCAACCCACCACCAGACAGATCTCATCATTGAACCTCAGGACAAGTCCTAGTAGACTCAGTTATTGTCGCCTCCCTGACAGTAAGGAGAGGAATGGCTCCCCAACGAACAGCTGAGTCATTAGGGAGTGAATACCTGTAAGTAAGCCTCAGCACCCAGGCTGAAGAGCTACAGGTTGTTTCACTGCAATTAATTCCACTCGCAATGGAGTATCTCATTTTGGATGCACAAATTGGTCTTCAAGGAGAAAAGCAGTTCCCCTTATGACTCTGAACAGAGAACACTTAAGGATCAAATCATAAAGCCTCTTCCTTTAACTTGGCCATTAAACTAAAGTACGGCCTAGGGGCACTCCCAGGGGTAGGGGTGGGCTGTGTGGTGTGGACTCTATCCTTCACCAGGAGACCCCTCCCTTTCTCTGCAATAGGTTACATGGGAAACTCAGTTCTCACGAGCTTCCTCCTCAAAAGTACAAACCCTACTATCACTTAAGGCACTGATGCATTTAACATACATATCTTAGATCTTTTATATTATTAGATTATTCATAATGGTCTTCATTCAGAGTTTTTGCTTTTAGTCTTTTGTTCTTTAATGTAAGCATCTGTGATGCTCATAATATATAATAAGACTTTAAATCTGATTTTTTACATTTAATGCTAGGAGGGTGGCTGATTAGCCTACTTGGTTAGAGTGTGGTGCTGATAACACCAAGGTCAAAGATTTGGATCCCCATACTGGCCAGGCGCCAAAAATAAATAAATAAATAATGCTACCAACACTTACTTTAAAACTGAAATAGGGTCTTTTATTTTACAGAGATTACAAAGTTAACCATTTGATCAGTCTTAGAAGACGTAGCCAATCTGCTTTGTCCTGGGCTAGTCATCAGCAAACCGCCACAGATTCATACAGTTCTTCCTGCCAGAGAGCTAAAGAAAATGGCCTCCTTTACCGGCACTTTCCCTTTCCTGGCCTCTCCTAAATGGTATGAGGTCACACCGGGCCATCCCAAAGCATTCACCACATCCTCCCCCGCATCTGAATTACATTTCCCAGACTTTCCCAACCTTTGCTTCATTTCAAAAGGATGTACAGTGAAGGCAAGAAGCTAGGTAGAGCGACCTGGGGACCAAAAACGTGTGCCACCTCGACCAGGCATCACTGACTCTTTAGAATGGCTGCTGCTTTGTCCAGAAGTTAGAAGGGAGCAGGGCAGGACCTGTCCTAATCATCAATGGAAGCACCTTTTCGGTCCAGGGACTCTGAATTGTTGGCAGAAGGGAATGCTTCCTTATTGGCATGCCAAAAATCACAGAGCAGACTGAAGCAGGGGGCAAGCCCGGATAGGCGAGCGTTATCTCACTGCCACTTACTTGCTCCTTTGCCCAGCACTCTACCAGTTCCTCTCACCTACCTGTTACTCCAACCAGAACTGGGGCAAAGACACTGGACTCGGAATAAGATGACCTTGGCCCAGTCATCTTCCGATCGTCACTTTTCCCAACTATAAAAGGGGACCTGGGAGGGACTGGAAGGAGGAGAATAAAATGTCTACTTTATGGGATTGTAGAGAAGATAAACTCAAATCCTTCATTCATTCACTCAATTACACGCGTTTTAGACACAGTATTTGTGGAACGCTGCTGAACAGCAAAGCCCTACTCAAGCACGTGGCTTTCTTGATGTCTAGAGGCCAGTTAGGCCCCCAGCGCAGCCTCACTTCCTCCGCTGCTGGGGACGAGCGAGCGTGTGGCCTGCCGCTTCGCTAGGTTCCGCAGCCGCTCTTAAGGAGGCTCGGTTACAGCTCCTGTAAGGCACGGACATTCTCCTCCAGAAGCTCCAGGACTTAAGACTACTGGCCCTGGGGAGGGGACGCTAAAAAGGCCTGGCCGCCACTGTGGCTCCATCCGGGGCAACCCGTCCCCGAATTGTTAGAATTTCGCAAGGCGGTGTCTTGAGGGCAAAGGACTGCGAGACGACCGTGCCGGGTCCTCTTGCTGGTGCGGTCCCTCACGCTGCACTAGGTGACCTTGAGCACGTCGACTCCCCACTCTGCGCCCATTTTCCCACCTGCCAACTAAACTGCTGGAGAGATGCTGCCGGAGGAGTCGGCGCTCTCCGGGGAGGTGCGGATGCGAGAGCCAAGCGGACTCGGACACCCGGGACCTTAGCAGCCCCGCCCGCAGCGCGCCCCGGCCCGCTCCGTACCTCGCAGCGCCTGCCCGCCGCGCTTCGCCTCCTCATGGCCCGCTGGGCTCAGGTCGGCGTCGTACCAGCCGCTGAAGCGGTTCTCCAGGTTCCAGGCGCTCTCGCCGTGCCGGATCAGCACTAGCTTGTAGGCGGCCATGGCGGCGGGATGCGGATGCGGCGCCGAGTAAGCTTAGCGGATATTCCGAAGTCGCAACCCGCCCCCTGGCCGCGCCTGCGCGCTCGTGTCCCACGCCCGCTCCCGCGCACTTTCTCTCCCAAATCTTTCCACTCTCTCGGGACCGCCCTCCGCCCGCCAGCCGCGAGCATGCGCCCCGATCCGGCGCTGCGGCCGCCGAGGGGAGGGGGCGCGGGCCGGAGCGCCAGGGCGCATGCGTTCTCCACCGCCCGCCTCGCGTCCGCCGCGGCCGTCACGGAGCGCACGTAAGCACGCGAAGGCGCGGGGACTGCCGCCCTGTCCCGAGCCGCCGCGCTCTCCTGTTGCTGTCATTCGTAAGCCACTGCGCGCAATGAAATGGCCCGATCTCTTGAGCCGCCCTGGTCACTGTCCCATCCTTACGCAGTGATTCGCACACCTGTGTTCGAATCTTCGGTCTTCCAGTTTATTTGCTTTATCTTTGGGCAGGTCGCGAAATCTCTCTCAGCCTCATCTGTAAAATGGACACAGTAAATACTTAGCTGCTACCTATCTACCTGGAAGGGCTCGGTAAATAGTAGTTGTGACTATTGCTATCTCATTTCAGCAGAACACTGATCGTTTTACTCTGATTTACAGAGGAGGAAACTGACTCTGACTCCGGTGATTCCAAAGCCCTGCTCTTTACCTAACACCGGCTGGTTATCCCGTCTGTCCACTGTCTCTCACACTTTCAAAATCCTTCCTGGATCTCCAACAATGAGGCAAACTCTAGGCCGCTTCAAACATTCCAGAAAGGGCTATTCCACTCCTAGCCCCAATCTGTAGTTTAATTATCTGCTTATCTAGATGGCTTTCTCCTGCCCATGTCACTGTCTCCTGGTTTATTTCAATCTCGCCGCCTGAATGAGCACCAAACACGAGCCAGGCAGGGCTGGAGCCAAGGATGGGTCAAATGTGCTTCCTGCCCTTCACAAAGACATAAGGCAAATAAGACCCGCATGTAAATAGCTAACAACAAAACTTCGCTGTGTGCTATATTTTGACAGAGGTCCTAGAAAAGTTTTAACATGAATGGTAAAACAGCTACTACATGCTAGGCAGTGTTCCAGGTGCTTTACCAACATTAACTCATTTAATCCTCATATCTTTATAATGATTCCCACTTACAGATGAGGAAATTAAAGATGAGGTAATTTGCCCAAAGTTACAGGAACCACGATTCGAGCGTAGGCCAGCTGGCTTCAAGTCTGTATACTTACCTACTGCTCTCTGTGGCCTCCATATTTTTTGTTGCATTTTAGAAATTTGTTGACTTGAAGAGAGGCAAGGATTTGAGAGGCAGAGAAAAGGCACTTCAGGAACAACATGAGCCAAAATGCAAAAGACCAGTTTATAGATAAATTGTCATAATAGCCACTGTTTGTAAGTAAAGAGTTTAGTGTGTCAAGTGTTTTAATGTATTATCTCAACCCTCTACAATTAGTGTAATGTGGGGCTATTATAGCTCCATTCCATAGATGAGGAAACCAAGACCCAGAGAAATAATTTGTGCAAAGTCACAACTAGGAAGTAGAGGAGAAACCAGGGCTGAAACCCAGGCCGTGAATGGCATAGTCTGCACTCTAACTACAGTACTCCACTGCCTCCCTCCTCTGTTGCTGGGAAAAGATGGACTTCAGTGACTGGGGAGATGACTGGGATGAGGTGCAGCCCTAAAAGCTGCAACCAAAACTCACAGGATCCCAGGCCCGCAAAGCTCCAAGAGCCCTCAAAGGGCTCTTGGTTCAAGCCCCTAGGCATAGCTCCCATGGGAGTCTTTCTGAGAAGACTATCTTAGGAAGTTCCCCCTCTGGCCTTCCCTGCTGCTTGATCATCCCAATCTGATGTCCAGACCCCTCCCAGGAGAGTTTTTCCAGCCTTAACCTTGGCTTTTCAGACTGGATTTTTGTCCCTCTACCTTGGCCCTAATCCATGCTCCCAGTCTGACTCCTACCGTGTCCATTTCTGCTCCCTCTGCTCTCAAGAAATTCAGGATTTCTGTGCCCTTGTCTAGTCAGGTCTCCCATTTCTGCAATAAGTAGGAAGTGTGAGTAGGAAGAAGATGCGGTTAGGGCCGGCCTGTGGCTCACTCGAGAGAGTGCGGTGCTGAGAACACCAAGGACACTGGTTCGGATCCTATATAGGGTTGGCCGGCTCGCTCACTGGCTGAGCGTGGTGCTGACAACACCAAGTCAGGGGTTGAAATCCCCTTACCGGTCATCCTTGAAAAAAAAAAAAGGAAGAAGATACGGTTGGAAACACGAGTTCAAATATGTCTCTGTCTCTGGTTAGCCGTGGGACCTAAGATGGATCACTCAATTTGTCATCCTCAGTTTCCCTATCTGTAAACTAGGGCAATAATCATATTCATATCCCCATAAGGCACTGTAGTGAGAAATAAATGAGATTATGGGGCCGGCCTGTGGCTCACTCGGGAGAGTGCGATGCTGACAACGCCAAGGCCACGGGTTTGGATCCCATATAGGGATGGCCTGTGGCTCACTTGGGAGAGCGTGGTGCTGACAACACCAAGTCAAGGGTTAAGATCCCCTTACCAGTCATCTTTAAAAAAAAAATAATAAAAAAATAAATAAATGAGATTATGCATGGGAAGTACTTCGCACTGTGCCTAGCAACTAGTCATAAGTAATAATAAATATATTATTGTTAACATATTAATAATAAGTATTAGCAATGTGATGAAGAAGGCAAAAGAGATTTAATGAGGGCCATCAATTCAGAGGGTGTGATTGTGGAGGTACATGGTAGGGGATGACTTGCCCACTGGGATGGAAACTGGGCAGGTAACTAGGATTCTTTGGGCAGGAAGCCAAGGGAATCTGTGCCACTGGCCTTGGGAAAGAGCTAGAGAATCCTGTTTTATTCCCTTCACCAGCCCCCTCTGCCTCCAAAAGAAATCTCTTATCTCCTTGGAATTCTGACGAACTCTGGTAACTTTTTTTTTTTTTTTTTTTTTTTTAAAGATGACTGGTAAGGGGATCTTAACCCTCAACTTGGTGTTGTCGGCACCACGCTCAGCCAGTGAGCCAACCAGCCATCCACATATGGGATCCGAACCCGGGGCCTCGGTGTTATCAGCACCACACTCTCCCGAGTGAGCTCTTAACCCTTGACTTGGTGTTGTCAGCACCACGCTCACCCAGTGAGCAACCGGCCATCCCTATATGGGATCCGAACCCGTGGCCTTGGTGTTATCAGCACCGTACTCTCCCGAGTGAGCTCTTAACCCTTGACTTGGTGTTGTCAGCACCACGCTCACCCAGTGAGCAACCGGCCATCCCTATATGGGATCCGAACCCGTGGCCTTGGTGTTATCAGCACCGTACTCTCCCGAGTGAGCCACAGGCCGGCCCCGGATCATCAGTTTTTTATGCATGCATTAGACCCACCCAACTACAAATTCCTTGAGGATGGGTACTGCATGTCAACTATTATATACACCCCCACACATGCACATGCACTTAGCATGATGCCTTTGCCCTTGGTAGCCTCCCTGAGTGTCCCTGGGTGTCAGAGTTAGGAGATACCTTGAAAACCCTCCAGTACAAGTCCCCACCTCCTGCCACTCCCAATTCACATTTTACAGATGAGAAAAGTGAGGTGAACAATTCAAAGAGCAGGAAATGAGCAAAAGACCAGATTTATCAGTAAGGAGTCAGAGGTGGTCCATGGGGAAGGACCCCAAAGTTGGGGCCTGCCATGTCAGAAGAGAGAGGCAGTTGCCCAGACAGATCAGATAGGAAGGGGGCCAGAGGGCTATGCCCACTCCCGTGGCAAGGACCCTGAAGTCTTTGCAGCCAGAAGCCAGAATTCCTGGGCAGAGATGGGGATCCATTTAGTGTCTATCACAATGTCTTGAATCTGGGAAGAAGCTTTAAAGCCTATCAAACCAAGGAGGTTTCTTAAATGCCAGTAAAAGAGCAGGAGTAAACCAGTGTGTTTGGCTCACCACTCCTTTTTTTTTTTTTTTTTTTTAATTTATCTCTGCTGAACACAAGACACAAAGACATGTGTCAGGGCTGATTCCTGAGCCTTCTAAAGCACTGGGAGGACACAGGAGAGCATTTACAGGTCCTGAGAATAAAGCAGGTGGCAAGGGCTTTGATCTCAGCTGGGCTCCAGGACACCCAGCATCCTCCCATCCATTTCAGTGAGCATCTGAGGGATCTACTGCACAGCCCCTAGACAGGGCACTGCACTCCTTCTTTGCCCTGTAGGGAGCAACTGAGGCCTTCCTGCTTGGACTGTGGGGGTGGCGGTGAGGGCTCTGTGCCCCATGCCCTCTTAGCAGTCATCCATGGGCCGGGGGCACTCACCAGTCATGAGCTCTAATGAATAAAATCCATACTGGGCCTTCATCTCTATCTGGGGCCTCCAGCCAGCCCCTAAACCCTGAATTCTTAGGACAGAAAGCCTCCCCTTCCAGAGCAGTGTTTAATTCCTCAGGCTCCTGGAAAATTCTCAGGACTTTAACAAGCTTATTGGTTAAGCCGTTACAAAAACTCAGATAAGGATAATCAGGAGTCACGGCCCTATTACCCTTCACTGTCCTTTAGGATAATAGAGGCCTCTCTCAGCCTTCCATTCCTATTTATTTTTTCCCCACAGAAGAATAACTCCCTTATCAACTACTGAACATTCAGTGAAGACCCAGATTTAGAATTAGAGTGGGGCTAGACAACAGTCTTATGACACCACGGTTGCAGGTTCAGATCCCAGTATCGGCCAGCTGCCAAAAAAGAAAAAAAAAAAAAAAAAAGAATTAGAGTGGGGCAAATCAAGTTTTCTGCTGGTGGAAGGAGGGCCCCCAGGACTTCCCATGAGAACACCACATGCCTTTCCTTGTTGAACCATCTTGCAAGCCCATCACCTGAAACTCAGATTTCCCAGCTCAGCTGGTGTGTGAGGAGGAGAGGATTTATGCCTCAGAGAGGGAGTGAGCCCGTACAATGCATCAAGACTCTGAGCTTCTAGGAAAGAAAGCAGTGCTTCATTAAGAGATGAAGCCCATGCTCCAGTCCTCAAAATGCAGTTGCCACCTGAAGGTAATCTGAGCTGGAGCTGGGGCTGCTGGAAAAGAGAGGAGAGTTCTGCTGCAGGTTTGGGGCTTCCTC